CACACATATATTTGTATGTGTGTTCGCATGGGCAATGCAGTTGTTGTAGGCAACCAGTTGAAGGGCTTGTTTAAAACAAGCGAATGCGAATAGCGAATATGAAAGGCACAACAGAATAACATATAAAAATAAAAAATGAATTAAATAAACACACACATACACATATAATAAACAATATTGCATGACAGCGAAAGCTGAAGTGAATGACAGGGAAAAAAACACACACGTGAACTCAATAGCAAAAACATTGCACACACATACATACATATGTACGTATGTACATATATGTAAATAAATAAGCAGAAGTGAGCATAACACCCAGTGACATCAAAGCCAGGGCGTGTGGGGGGAAATATGCAACTGCAGTTGGCATACAAAGGTAAGCAACAACATTAAATAATCATAAAAGAAGCATAAAATACTTTTTATTCCGAAAATCATAGTTATAATATTTTTTTTTATTTTTTAATACCAAATACTGAATTAAAAATATTAAAACTAACACTTTTAATCCCAAAATCCGGCCGGATAAAAAAATAAAGAAATAATTGAATTTAAGTTTAAAATATTATTTTTTACTCCGAAAATTATAATTAAAAATAATTTTGAAATTTTTAATCCCAAATACTGATTTAAAAATGACAATAAAAATTTAAAAAAAATCGGCTGGAAAAAGAAATGAAATTATAAAAAATGATAAAAAAAAATAGACATATATATAAAAAATGTCAAAAAAAATAATAAACAATTTTAAAAGAAAATCATTTTAAAAATTTATACTTTTTCGCGTTTGCCTACTTCGTGTTTTTCCATTTTGGTTATCATTAGAGAAGGAAAGCTTATTTTTAATAATATTTTATTTTTTGTTTTTTATCTTATTATATAATTTTATCTTATTTATATTTTTAACTTATTTATCATAAATAATTTTAATTTTAATGTTTCAGTTAGAAAGAAAGGCAGAATTTACCTTGTTTATGTATTTTTACTGCAGCATTTAATTGAAAATTATTTTTTTATTTTTTATCCCAATTTTTAAATTAAAAAATATTTATTAAATGTTTATTATTAAATGCAAATAAATATAATTTAATTTATTAATTTTTAATACCAAACATGTTAAGAGAAATTAAAAATTTAGCACGAAATTAGAATTAAAAATTTAATTATGAATTTTTCCTCAAAAATGTTTTGAATTAATAAATTGGTATCCAGGGTTTCGGAGTAATATTTATATATATTCGAAAATCTAACAAGCTCAAAAATGAGCAGCCATATTTCAAAGCATATTTTTCTGAAAGCAAAAGGAATATTAAAACTTCAAATCTCCACTATTTAGCGAACTTATAATAGAAACACTGTAGCCTCAACAACAACAAAAGCAATCAGCAACGGCAAGCCGCCGCCCACGGGTTTATTTACATTTTTTGCGGGGCAAAAGCGCAGCACCGCGTATTCTTACTGGGGGCTCCTCCACCCCACAGTCTGACTGACACACACACACACACACACCCATGCATACGCCGATGATGTCGCGCAAAAAAGCGGAGAATTGATAATTATCTTTGCGCGCATGACGATCATCGCACTTTTGCATTTTTTGTGGGTAATTTTCTGTGCGCGCACGCGTATTACTGATCGGCGATCAAAGACACCAAGTTCATGTCGTCGTCGGCCGCGACGATGCGATGTATAAACGACGCGACGAGTTTGATGTATAGAAGGTGCTGATAGCGGTAGTGTTTGGTGCCAAAGCGTGTGCATGTGTATGTGAGTGTGTGTGTGGTAGCAAAAGCACGCTTGGTAGACCACTCCACTCCATGGAATGTTGTCAAGAATTCTGAGAATTCTTGTGGGACGACGACTTTGCTGGTTCGTCAGATACATCCACATTTATATGTGTACATGTGTGTATACACATATATGTCTCTATTTATACATGTGCTCCGATACAACTTTATGCTCGCACAGAGATTGTCAAATGTATAGATACATGCTGTTTCACCTACATATATGGGTGTAAGGTAGGCGGTAGGTACTGAGTTAGGTAGACGCAAACTTGCATATCGATAGCAATATGTCTGCTAGTGTGAGTAATAACTAACTTGAGTAGTATACATTTAGGAGGCAGAAGCTCCGAGTCGACTAGTTGTCTTAAATGTTTTGGCTAATCGAACAAGCAATTGGTAAAATTTGTTCAAAAAAATAAAAATAACGGTGTGACTAGAAAATAAGGTAAGGTGACACACATTTTCAACACATTTTGGGTATTGTTTTGGTTATAATACATGCCAATGCTAGACTCGTACCAAGGCACTTAAATATTTTTCTGAACTCACATCGAGTAGTGGTTACAAAAGAGACGCTTGTTTGACGACGTAGCTGTGAACCCCACATCCGTCAAAGGCCTCCTTAACAACCCAAACAACTAAAATTCCTTGAAGACACTGTAGGCCATTACAATTCAATTCTGAGGAATCCTTCATCTTCCTCCAGCAGCGGGGTATTTTGATTTATTCCATTTAGAACATACATTCAGGCGCTTGCATATTTGACCGCAGGCAATCCCAGCGCAGTCTTAGTGGGATTAAGTGTTGGCATGACTGTAATGGCTATTTTGTAGTATAAAAACTAAAGTTTTAAATACCTGTGAAAATACATATTTTTTTATTTTATCAGTCTGATTCAAATTTGATCACATCACAATTTCAGTTTACCTTGCACTTCACAACTCACTACACATCGATAAAGGCGTTGCGCGCACATGCTGTGTCGATTTAACGGTTTTCCGCATACTTTTCCATTAAGCCAAGCCAAATGATCGTTATGTACAGCAACAAAACGTGTTTCTTGCGGACACACATGCAATGACTGAGGAATTTTCGCAACATATTTTTGGTACTGACCATAGAACGGTAACTGATTGCATTGTGTGTATACACGTGTGTGAATATGTAAAGAACGTTGTACCGCGCCCATTCCTCAACGAAAAACGGCGTGTGGGAAAAATTAGTAATGAACGCTGACTGACGATGGACAATAAGAGCACATGGAATCTGTTACTTTCTTCGTTTCTCAGAAATTTAGGTAGAAAGTAAATTGCCAAACCACGGGACATGTGTGAGGCATCCTTTGTAAGCGACAAATTATTATAGAAACTGGCACGCCGTAAGAAACTCACGGATTATCACAAGCAGCTCGAGGTACCTGCTTTTACTCTGCACGCTCTTACACTCGAAACGGCTTATAATATTGGCAGTATTCTTTGCGAAAGATGGCGATTCTAAAACCAACTATTATTTCATGCTAGAATTTTTTGCATATTTCTATATAGAATACTATGTTGAAACAGCGCTAAAGATAACAGCAAAAGTCGCACCAACAAAGGGGTGAAAAAATTGCAGAGAGTCATGCATGCAAAGCACAAAATCATGCAGCAGCACCGGCAACTACAAGCAAAGCGATTTGAGCGCTAAGAATATGCTGCACATGTGCAGAAGGGTCAACGACGTCCGCGCTTTGACAGCATTATGCTATTTAACGTGTGGCAGCATTGAAACATAAAGTATAGTAACCGAAGTGGAGTACTGGAAAATCAACTTCCCCCTTTTTTGATGAGCGGCCACAAGCATGTTGCTTAATGATAATTATACCCACTATGGAGCGGCGGTGTTAAGGTGCACAGTTTTAATAGTTTAATTTTTCATACTCGAATAACGCAATAAGAAGACCTTCTAAAAATATAACTAACTCGATATTAATAAAGTAGGGGAGCCCTGACTGGCTAGGCCGCCAGCGCGCTGTGTTAACCGCAAAAATGCCAGATGGAAAAAGTGGAGACAAATGCAAAGTGCACGCGATATATTTAATGAGTAACTTATCAAGTCTGAAAAGGGGAAAAGAACAGCCAAATAGCAATAAAAATATATACCAAATTGCGGAACTACCAAAGACGACTTCGAACTAACGCTGCAATTTAAAAGGCAGAAATAAAAATTATAATAAGCAAATATGAAAAAAGAACGATAAAAGCGTCCACATACCCAATTTTTATAGATCACTTAAGGTAAACGGACTCTGGTGGCGTATCAAAGCTAATTAACAGTGCCGAAGCGCAAACGAAGCATGCAAAAATTATTTAGTTTATGGTAATATAAATCCATTAATACCAGGCGGATCAGCAAGTCGTAAAACTATGCGCGTACACTTGTAGAAAAACACATAACTACAAGCATACAAATGTATATACGAGTGCCGTTTAGGCCTAGTATCAGACGAAGCGAATTTATGCACGCTTACGGCAAGCGGGAAAAGTACTGCAAAACACAAGTAAACAACTTTGGCATTCCAAGAAGTCTATTGCCTTTTTAAAGCAGCATCACCACCTCCAAGAACAGCAACAAATACAACAACAACTGCACCGATAGGCATATACGACGTAAACAAGAAATAAGAAAAAGTGTAGTCGGCGCGCGGCAGCTGCAGCAACGCAACAGCAATGTAACAACAACATAGTGTGCGTGTGTGTGTCGCGCATAAAGGAATTCGTTCATGGAATCCATGAATTGTATAAATGCCCGCACCAACGCCATACAAACGGCGCAGGAGCGCGATCAAAACAAGAAAATCGTACAAACCAGGAGATCAAGCACATCAAGCTGTATTATGTTGTGTTGTAGGCAATGACTGCAAGATCGCCCAGCGAACGCATGATTCCGATTAGTTCTACTATAAAGCATACTTTACCGCGCGCAAATCTAAATGCCACACATGCATAAGCGCATGCGTACGCATTTACACACACACACACACAGACGTTTAAGCATACGCGATCTTCAACTGCTTTCCTGTTATGATGCGCGTATGGTTAGTTGTGGCTATGTGAAATGCGGTATGCAACGCATTGCCCATTTTGAAGGCGGAGTTCACAGGCATTGCAAATAACACGCCATGAAATTCCTTCCCACGAGGACTACTATGTTTGTCTGGCTCTGCCGCATAGGTAAGTTATGCCATCCATGCTATGCTGCTATCCATACAAAGTCTTGATTAGTTCTTTTGTCTGTCTGTTTGTCTGTCTGTCTGTCTGTCTGTCTGTCTGATTTGGTATGTTACCTTTTTGCCGTTGCGCTGTGTTTTTGTTACTTTTATAAATGACTTTGAAAAATGGGTTCAAGGAACGCTGAGGACTTAATGCCTTTGAAGTAAGGAATTCTTTGAACTCGATGAAGGACACTGCAGCAGCCGCAGACATAAACAATATATGCACATATGTATGTGTGTATGTACATATATGTTTATGCATATATTTGTATGTATGTATTTTCTTATTATTTGCTTTGGCGTTACCATGACTTTGTTTTCGAAGATGCGGCACAAATTGGCGCCAAAAGTGTATTGTGCTGCTGAATTGGTGAATAACAACAAAAAAACGTGTTGGGAATGTTTTCAAGGAATTACTGCTTAACTTTTTGTCATTTGTGTTTATATAAGGGATTCGATGATCTTTTAGGAAAATTATGCGGTACTGCAACAACATATCTTCATATGCAATCTATAAGGAATCAAAAAAAAAAATTAAAACAGAAAATTAAAAGGAACGGGTCCGTAAATCAGCAGACGCTGCTCTTATAGAAAGTATATATGTATGTATGTATGCATTTCATAACCTTTTAAAGAAGTCTAGACTGGACAAACCTGACGCTGAGACTTTGCGTCAACATAACTTATGTGAGAAAAGTAGAACAAAACAATAAAAAACGAACAAAGTGCAACAGCGTCAAGTCAAAAGCAAAAACGTAAGGCAAAATTAACGATGTCAGGCCGTTGAACTAACCAACAACCCTTATTACAATTTAGCACTATTAACCAAATGAATAAAAAAAATCTGTCCGACCAGACAGTCGATCATCTACGAATAAACTAGCACAATGAGAAGACTCTGGCGGAGGTCTATGGAACGAAAACCAACTTCCTTACTAAATTGGATTCGAACTCAAGGCAAACAGTCTGCGGGTGTGGCAAAGTCATTATATCCGTTTCCATGACAGTCGGGTTCAAGTACCCAGAAAGGACGCGGATTTTTGTCCGGCCAAGAAATGTCAACTCGGCGCCATTCATCGAAATTACCTCAATGTCACGGAGGAATCGATTCTAGTAGTGACGGTAGAAGGTGGAGTCTTCTGTCGAGAACTCTCCGTCATCACTACTTTCTGATTACCAGACCACATGTAGTGTATTTCAAGCGGAGGTAGCTGTCATCAAGGCAGCAATATACATATGTACTACTCCGCATAGGTGTGCATTCACTTCGATCGTAGAGCGGCTATACTGTATGCTCACTGCTATTCAACAAGTGCATGCCATCATTAGCTAAAGTATCAAGCTTCTTCCCAATTACACTGGTTATGATCAGAGCAGAATCGCTGGAAACTGCAAACCTATGAACTTGCTAAAGAAGGCAATTTCACCCGATTACAATATGAGAATATGTGTAATGTTATAGAAGCTAAGCAAGAAGAAAGCTATAGAAAAAAAATCATATATTCAGCACAAATCTATTAACAAATATGTATGACTTCATTTTGGTTTAGCAAATTTGTTACTGGTAGGGGTATTGACAACGAATATAAACTTTATAGCAAAGAAGAAAAAATGTTAAAAAGGTCAGACAGATGGACATGACTAAATCAACTCCGGACCAAAATAGGATGTCCTCCAACGAATACCTACACAGTGAAGCACGTAGAAATAAACCTGCTTGGAGCGGAACCACGTCTCAGGAGCATCAAAAGGACCTTCCTCAATGACGCCGACGACATAAAATAATAAGCTAACCAGACTTCGGACGCAAAAAACTTAAGACATGCACTGGCTGACATTCACAGTGGAGCCATTAACACTTTCACCGACTCCCTTTCTCTCTCTTAGTGAATTGCGTATTTGAAGTCAAACCACCACCCATGGCAGACGAAGACATCAAGTTGCCGAGGAGCTCCAGAGTGGTCACTCGCAGTTTCGTTCTGGATATTATAGCAGGTTCAACTCCCACTTATTTTGAGTCGACCCTGACATATCAAACATATGTCCAGCGTGCAACGACTCGCCGCATGACACCAACCAACCACCTCTTTCCATGTCCAGCTAACCCTACACATTTGACACCCCTCTCCCTACAGTACGATCCCGTCGAAACAGGGACTCTGATCGTTATAAACTAGAAGGTTTCCGACGTTTCCAACTTGATATTACAAACTTTATAAGTCATGTTCAGCGTAGAAAAATCCATAACTATCACCAACTTGTGTAAAAATAGTAAATATTAGAAACCGCGCCGAAACTTTTGATCTTTAATGTAAACCAATTAGCGGAGCTCTCAACAATGACATTACGAATAAATCTAATCAACATGTTTTAATAACTTATGACACTTGTAGAGAGTACCAACCAACTACATAAAAAATATCTTAAAATCACGTTAAAAACTCATTACACCGATGAAATCTAATTATAAAACCACCAAGAATGTATATTGAGAAATGCAAGTGAAAAAGAAACTAAGAGGCGTTAAAAGAAACCCACAACCAATCAACTAAATGCGATACACAGCACAGGTCCACATAACGGTATATCGACACTAGTGTCGGTGTTGTCGTGTGCGAATGGAGTAATTTTAATGAAGCGCACGTTGAGGTCGGTCGCTGACTGCAAGTGACTGTCAATACCGAAGCACGCCAAAACAACAAAAACAGCAGCCGAGCCTTTTAGCAGCTACAAATCAATTTTCAAAGTTCAAAGCGTAGGAGTCACCCATCGTACGACACTGCAACGCCTTCACCACCGACGACCTCTCATCAACGACTACTCCCACAGGCAGCCACCCACTTTTCAGCCGCACTTTGGTGTCGCATAAATACACACACACCCACAACCGCGCAGCAGACAAGGCGTTATGCTGCTGCTGACGAGCAAGTCAACGACAGACAAACCGAGGAACGAACGAACGACCAACCGACAGAGCAACAGCCCAGTAGGCTTTCAAACAAACAAACCAAGTTATACCCGTTATGTCAAGAACTGGGAGTGGTACCGTTGAGTAAATGATGTTGTTGTAAAACATGTACAACTTTCGCATTATGGGTATATACGACATTTCGCATATACGAAGCAACAACCGTCGTAGAGGAAGCGAATGTGAACGGAAGTTAGCCGCGAGTGTGAACCACTCCCCGCCCACCAAAGTAACATTTAGTACCAACTAAACTAATTACAAAATAGAGCAGCTGAATTAAAACTATGAGTAACAGTAAATGGTGACTGGTGAATTGAAAATTCTCGCACAGCACAGCAACCAAAAGCTAACCCTTCCACCACGCCAACAGAGACCAAGGAATATAAATAAATTCCCATATTGTCATATAATGAAAGCTTTATAAGGGCAATTTGGGTGTTGCTGGCTGTTGGGACCCTCATTGCTGCTTTATTCACTTTCACATAGCGGATTTCATACAGACACATGCGTAGAGATCTGTAGTAACTGGGAGGGGGTCACTGGCGTGCACGCACCATCGAACACCGGGATCAATTGAAGCAACAGAAAATCAAAAAGGGAGTGGTGTGACGGTGTGAGGGTATGACAGTGATGATGATGAGGATGAGAGAGTGGAAAATTGATTTCCACACAGCAAAGGGCAGGCAGGTCGCGCAGCTACCGCTTGTCTGTCTGTAATAATTCTGAAAGCAGTGACAGCAGCAACTGTCAAAATAGCAACAACGAAAAAAGTCGTAAGCTTGTAAGTAGTAACATAGCACAGCGAAACTTTTCTTAATACTCGCATGAGCATTTTAAAAGCAACACACAAGCAACATTTTACACATGGACAGACAACGCATAGCTGACATGACATTGCAAGTGTAAGCTGGAATTGTGTGAAGAAAAAAAGCGAGTGTCATCGTGTCGTCGTCATAGCCATCGTCAACTTGCTCGGCGCGTATGCGCTGCTGTTGTTGTTGTTAGTGACAATGACAAATATTAAATAGTATTACATTTAATAACAACAATGGCAACAAAGTTCAAGAAAGCTTTTGTTACAAATAATCATACAAGCAAAACCGTGCTCAACACATCTTTCGCATCATTGCCGTCATCAGCGCAACTTTAATACTCACAAGTATTATACATATGCATGTATGTACACAAGTAAATGTATATGTATGACTGATATTCGAACCGTGGCAGCATAGCAGCATTGGCATGCCAAGCCAAAGTAGTGGTGCAAATAAGAGCATTACTTTACACATGTTCTTGCGTGAGTGTGTGTGGTATTCACTTTGCAGAAAAATCCAATATATGGTGGCATCTACGCACCGCCCTCACCATCGCTACTGCTGACTTAACATTCAAATAAGTTCAACGACCCATTTTAAAATCAATCACATAAACATGTGTTTCGGAGGCGCGGGCATGCATGGTGTCAGAAATCAGAAATTGCTCAGCAGTTATTTTTATGTACACAGCTAGTTATGCGATTGCTAATAGAATAAGTAACACTTCAGATGTCTGTCAACTTCGACTTGTCACAAACAATAATAATATCATCTTATTACTTCGTTCGGTGTTAGGAAAGCTTCTGGATTATTATGGGAGACACCCAGTGTGTTTTCATATTTAGATAGTTTATACCTTTGAAAATAACATGTTCAAATGTTATTGATTTTAAATCGATAAATAAATCGATAGTTTTTGAGTAGCAGCCTTTTAAGGTTAGTGTGGGCCGCCTTAAGAGTTACATGGGTTTCAGAATTCAAAAAAAAATGTATTATTATCTTATTTAATTCTAAAACATACATAGATTCTCTTTTTATCCGAACAATAGTTTTGGAGATATAGCCTTGAAAAGTTGCTCTTTTTTTGTTTCGGGTGATCCTGTAAGAAGTTCTTCGGCCAATGCGGAGGCATCTTTTTTCCGATGGACGGTCAAAAATGACTTCGTAATGGCCGAGTTTTGAATATTTTTTTTTAATTTCACAAACTCTTTTTATAATATGTAACTGTGGAACAATAAAGGTTTTAATAAAATATAATATAAATAAACACTATTAAAAATGGTGTTTTGCTCAACGAAAGCCATGTAACCTCTCTCATAAAGTGTGTGATTGCCGATTTTTCGTTAAAACCAGTGTAAATATTTGAGCTCGCCAGTAGGATCTTAATATGTTTCCACTTTTTATAAATTTCCTTTAACAAGTAAAAAACTTAAGACAAAAAATCAACTTTAATGAATTCCCCAACGAATTGAAAAAAAGGAAAACGCGAATTCAATAGTTAAGAACTGTCGCAAGACTTTTTACCCTCCTTCGTCTGTAGCATCATCAATAATAGCAGACAAATTGACATTGTTACTAAATTTAATTATTGCGACAGTTGCTGACACTGAAATTAATAAAGCCAAGAAAGAATAGAGAGAAGCATCGCTAACGAAACGTGACTGTTAAACGCTGTCAAACGAAATTAAAAACTTAAGTTTCACGAAAGAAAATGGAAAAAACGACAAC